CTCACACCAGGGGAACAGTGATCCAGAGTTCATGGCCTATCAGCCCATTGATGCTTTTCCCGGGTGTCTGATGAGTGCCAGGCTGCTGTAGCCATGGTAGGGCTCCTTCTTTCATATGGTCAGAGGAGGGGGTTGGAGTAGTTGTTGTACTGTTGTACCCGGTAAGCTTACCAACTTGTGTTTTCCTGATACATCATATGTGTGTGTGTTGATTCCATTTGACATGTTTATAGTTTTTATTAGCATGGCTAATTCATTAAGCTGTATAATTAGTGCAACGAGGAGTTGCTTTAGCCAGGAAGTTGGGTGGGTCCCACATTGCGTAGTTACCTGTTTACACACCAAGTCCCAAATTATTCTGCCTCAGTGTTGAAAATGGAACGAGCTGCTGTTTGTGAAATGGAGTTCCATGGGCAGAGCACGGCCTGAAAGCTCCTGTCACTCACAGCAAGGTGCGGCCTGCGTTCCAGATACCCTCAGTCTTCCCTTTCCCACCTGAGATGCGTGTCCTTTTCTCCACTGCTGCTGTCCTCGTTACGTGCCTTCACTGCTGACCTTTCTGCCTCCCTGACTTGCCTTGCACCTCTTCCCATGTTTCCTTTCTGCGAATGTCGTGATTTCCCACATAAATTTGATCAGCCTTAAACCAGCGGCATCCTATTGTATGGTATGGGAGTTGGGACTGTTCATAATTGAGTCTCTGAGTTTCCCAGAGCTGCTGTAACAAATTGCCATAAATGGTGGCAAATGACCACAGCAGGAGTGTATTGCTTTGTAGTTCTGGAAGCCTGGTGTCCAAAATGAAGATGCTGACATTGGCCTTTGCTGTTAAGATAGTTGCCTGGTGTCTGGGGTTTCTGTTGCCTGGTTTCTGGTGGTTGCTGGCGAGCCTACGATTGTAATGTGTGTAATGGGATTTTAAATGTGCCTCTCCAGTCTCTTTCTTTCCATGTCTCCCATCTCCCATAACTGTCTTCACATAAGGACACTGATTGGATTACGGCCCTCCTAATTTATGCCACCCCATCTTAACTAGTTACATCTGGGGAGGCCCTGGCTCCCGGTGGTAGCACTTCCTGAAGTTGCAGGTAGATGTGACTTTTTCAAGGATACTGTTCAACCCAGCGCACCCTTCCAGCTACAGCTTTTTCTCTTTCCTCACTCATGGGCTGGTTCATTTAGTCTGATGCCATGTGTGGGTGAAAATTCACAGGCAGACAGGGATAAAAGGCTTTGAAGTGGAGGAAAGTAGATTCCCACAGGGCCACAGAGGAGATGAAAATAGAGCTGAGTGTCAGAATAGTTTAGATTTGGTTTGGTTTGGTTTTTACTGTACTGGAGACTGGACACAAGGCTTTTGCCCTGAGCTACATTCCCCACTTTATATTTTTCAATTTTGAGTCAGGGTCTCTCTTAGGCTGGGCTTGGAGCTGTGATCCTCCTGCCTCAGCCTCCCAGAGTGCTGAGATTACAGGTGTGCATAACCATATCTGACTTTATTTTTATTTTTTATTATCTCCTTGCACTTTGGGACCCAGTTCAGGTGTTGTTTCTTTTGTGGATCTCCTCAGGGACTGATTCTGTTTCCTCTTTGCTTAGAGCATACATATATGGCTGTCACATCCATGTTTTGATTAATTATTAGAACTTTGTGATCTTGGTGAAGACCATGTATTTAGCCTGCATTCAGCCTGCTGCATGTTACAAAGCAGGTATCTGAGAATAAATTTACCCACCTGCATTTAATCCCATAAAACAAAATCACATGCATTTCAGGGGGCTGTGCAGTCCTGCGTGAATGATGCTCCGCCTCAGATGAGGTAAAAGTAACTTAACCGTGGAAGGAGGTGGCACCAATCCCGTCATGTCTCCTCCCACCCAGAGGTGCTGCTCTTCTCACTGCGCTCCTTCCAGAAGCATCGAAGTTTTAAGGCAAATAGTCCAAAATTTGTGGTTGAAAGAAACTGCTTGGTTCTCACCACCTTTCGAAGAACTCATTGCTGTCAGGGGCCTCATATAGGATGATGGGATCATGACCCTGAGCAAGGCCACACGTCTCAGACCTGACCGGAGTGGACAGAGCCAGGAGCCAGGCTGGTGCTGTCCAGCAGATGCACTCAGAGTGCTGGAGCTTGTCCGTGTTTCTCATTTGGACAAAACAAGTGTGAAGACTGTAATTTAATGTTTTGAGATTCCTACTTCAGTCAAATCAATTATACGACCTTGTGAAAGACTCAAAAAGGCCTTTGTATTTTTGATGGAGCAGGGAAGAAGTTTAAGAAGTCTGAGTAAACAAGAAATGGGGCATTCAACTAATACTTCCATTGCAGTGACCAGGGTATGAGGATATTTTAGGGAAAAAACTCAATACGCAATACCTTTGAACATTTATTTTTATAATTAGTGAGTCATGCTGAACTATTCATCGGTACTAATTACTGCTTCGCTTGGGTATGTTAGAAAACTTGTCACAGACCATTAGCAGTCACTGCTTAATTTAGGGGAACAGTTTGAGGTAAAAGGTTGTTAATCAAATAATGTTAAAACCAAAGTGATTATAAAAGCATTTCATGGCCTGGGGATATAGCTCTGCAGCATAAGCACCTGCCTGGCAAGCGCAAGGTCCTGAGTTTGATTCCTGGTACAAAAAAAAATTCATAAACCCAAGTTAGAATTAATTTCACCCCCATGGTTTCCAGAGGAAATGTCTGGCTCTCTTAGTCATGAAGCAGTACAAGTTCTTCAGGCAGCTCCGTTTTCATATACAGGTCAACTGTCAGGGAGGGCAGGGATTAAAGAGCCTGGCTTATTCTTGTACCCAACTGTGATTTACATAGCCAAAATCCAGCTAATCACAGACTGCCCTATGTGGCATTGTGAGTATCAGATCTCTGCGAATTGGGTTCATAATTTTATGAAGCCCTGTCCAATGCCAGGACCCCAAAGTAAAGCTGTTGATGTGAGAGGGCTTTACAGAATTTCAGGCTCATTTTTATTTATTTTTCTCTTTTCTCTTGGGCAGGGGTTTCTAATATGGATGGATCCTGATAGTGTTAGGAGGCCGTGAACTGGAATAGGAAAACAGATGATAGCCTTTCCATTCACCTCTTACTAAAATTTAAGGCCAACAGTACATAGTGATATTGTCATACACATAACTTGCAGGTAACTTAGAATATTGTCATTACTTTTCCCTACTTCAGGGTTACTATTAGACCATCAGTGACTCCTCTGATGTGTTAGTGTAGGACCTCATGTAAAGCTGTTTTTTAATATTTCAGTAAATTTTACAGAAAGTCTCTAATTATGAACAAGTTTTGTTTGGGAGTACATTTGTAAGTCAGATCCATTTGAACCCAACAAGGTCAGTCTTACACAAGACCTTGTGAAGTTTGCAACTCAAAAGTCCAAGCAAGGAAAGATGAAGAAATTTTTCCCAAACTGAGAGAACCAGGTAGACATGACAGCTCACTGCAGTGGCTGCCCGACTGGGCCCTGGAACAGAAGGACAACAATGAAAAACCAGTCAAGTTCAGGGTAAGTCTGAAGTTCAGTTTATAGTTTATCAATGACAGTTCCTCAGTCTAGATATGTATGCCAGGAGATGCCAGGTGCTCTCGGCAGTGGAGCCAGCTGAGGGTGGGTTTTGCAGAGTGGTCTGCAGTTACAGTGAGATTCATAGCTTGGGCTCTATTGACCACTCCCAGGGATGTTTTGGATGGAAGTCTTGTATCAACTCAAGGCCATCATGACTCTTCCAGTCACCACTCCAAGAAACCGTGGAGATAGGCCAATCCAGAGGTAAAGGAGAGGTGTAACAGAGATGTGGAGTAGTGCAGAGTGTACTGGGATGGAAAAGGCATTGTTTGGGATCCTGTTCTGACACTGTCACTTACCACCTTTGTGACCTGGGGCCAGAAACTGTTTTGAGTTCTTCTTCCCTTATGCAGAATGGAACCATTCACACAGACCTTGCTAGGTAATATGCCTGCCTAAGTGGCCCTTTTGTTAGTTTTGCCGCCTGTGTTTTAGGGTCAGCTTAGCCTTAGGTACTTAGCATTATTCACAAACCATATGGTTTAATCTTCATGACCCCTGGATGACAGGACCATTTCATAGGTAAGGAAAAGGCACCGGGGCTTAACTGCCTCATTGCCTAAGGCTGCAGAGCTGAGCTTGCAGGGAGCTCAGAGCTGGCTGCAGCTGGAGGTGTTCCTGAGCCCTGGGAACGGGTCCACCCTCCTGGTGGATGCGTTCCAAGTGACCGTCTCTCTGCTTGACTCCCACCTCCTCTCTTGTCTGCTTCATGTGCCCTTCAGCTCCAGGAGGCCTCTTCGTGATTCTGCTGCCCACTGCGGCTGGTGTCTGTGGACTTCAGACTCTTCAGCTATGAGATCAGCTATAGCACTGATGGACCTTTCACATTCTGTGAATTTTATCTGCTTGTCCCAGCTGTCATATTGGGATAATTACTGAATCATTGAAGCCACAATTTCTTCTGATCTCTTTTGGGTGTAGTCAAATTCAAGAGAGAGAAAATATCAGAGGTTTAAGGTTTCGTGGTCTCTTAAAACCACAAGTTAAAAAAAAAAAAAAAAAAGCACAGGCTATTGTGACATATACTTTTTTCTTAATTAGGATTTTGTTCAGGGATTGTTCTACAAGACTCGGGGGTGATTTTATGTTGTTTTTTCTTAGAAAGGAAATACTGTGTGTCACCATGTAGTTACCAATTACCTCAAATTAATGTATATTGTAATTAAAATGTAATGTAATGTAATGTAATTTAAAAAGGCAGTTGCCAGGGCTTGCTTAGCTACCTGGGCAGGACAGTTGAGCCATAAATAGTAGTTATTAAGTAATGAGCCCAGTTTCTACAAGTGACATGGGCACACATGTTTGTCTCACAATGACAAGAAGCAAGCGAAGCTCTTCCCAGAGTGAGGTTCCCGCAGTGGGGAAGGCCCTGTTAACTTTATGATTTGCTCTCTTGTTTTCAGTTTTTCCCCTACATCCTGTTGCTGTTCGCCATCCTCCTGTACCTGCCACCCCTGTTCTGGCGTTTAGCTGCTGCTCCTCATATCTGCTCAGACTTGAAGTTTATCATGGAAGAACTTGACAAAGTTTACAACCGTGCAATTAAGGCTGCAAAGAGTGCCCGTGACCTTGACCTGAGAGACGGTGCCTGCACGGTTCCAGTTGTCAGTGAGAATACAGGGCAAAGGTAACTTGGTCCCCATTTTTGTAGGTCAAGTTCTCTGCCCTTTTTCCTGCCAGTCTGGGACTCGAGCTTTTATTGCTGGTAGAACAGAGAGGAAGGACGTCATCCACCTAGTGACAGTCAGGAACATCTGATCTCCCTAGACGCATTCCCTCCCTCTCTCCAGCACCTGTCTTGATGGCGCCTTTCCTTGTAAAACTTCACGGTCTGCTCTTCTGAAATTCTTACAGGGCTGGCAGGTTGAGGAGTTAGCTTTGATGTCTCCTTCATGACGGCAAAGCACAGGGTTTTGAAGCTACCAAGCTTAGAGAAAGAATGTGAGCTGAATACGGAATGAGTAGTGACTGCTATGCCTTTTCACATTCTTTCTCTGGTTATTGACAACAACAACAATAATAATGTTAATTGCTATCATTTTAAAATACTTAGTGTTTCCCAGATGCTCTATTGAGTTATTTGAATGCATTATTTTCCCCAGCTCTAGGACATTATTAACTGATTGTATTTGTTTATCTCTCCTTTCCACCCCGTCCCCCAGATAAAAGCTTCCTAGGAGCTCTAAGTGGGAGCTGCTTCATGTTAGTGCAGCCTTTTTCCTTGTCCCCCCCCCAGTGCCCTAAGCACCCCCTGTGGAAGGTATATGTCTTCCAGTTGAATTGAAAATACATCCTGTACTGTATACTTTCAAGGAATATTGTAGAGCTAAAAAAAATCAACAGTTTGTATTCAGGAACTGGTACATTTATTTAACAATTGCTAGGAGCCAGGCATTGTTCTAAAAATTTCTAAATATTATTTTGTTTAATTTACTTTAAATTATAAAGGGAAAAGTATTATATTATTACTTTTCTTCCTTTTTTCTGTAAGCCTGATTTTATTCCCTAGTACTCTAATGAAGTTATAGGTAGAGGAGTTTAGGTGTTTGAAATTTTCAGTGTGATATTACTGGATGTGTTATTGTCTTCTGATATTTGATGATCTTCCTAATGGTATAAATTATTTGTGTTTCCCTTTCTTTTTAGTTTGTGGGAGATATCTGAAAGCCACTTCAAGTACCCAATTGTAGAGCAATATTTGAAGACGAAGAAAAACTCCAATAATTTAATCATCAAGTATATTAGCTGCCGACTGGTGACACTCACCATCATATTGTTAGCGTGTATCTACCTGGGCTATTATTTTAGCCTGTCTTCACTGTCAGACGAATTTGTCTGCAGCATCAAATCAGGGATCCTGAAAAATGACAGCACTGTCCCTAATCAGTTTCAGTGCAAACTCATTGCTGTTGGCGTCTTCCAGTTGCTCAGTTTCATTAACCTTATGGTATATGTTCTGCTGACGCCTGTGGTCATCTACACACTGTTTGTTCCATTCCGACAGAAGACAGATGTTCTCAAAGTATACGAAATTCTGCCTACTTTTGATGTTATGCATTTCAGATCCGAAGGGTACAATGACTTGAGCCTCTACAACCTTTTCTTGGAAGAGAATATAAGTGAACTCAAGTCATACAAGTGTCTGAAGGTACTGGAGAATATTAAAAGTAATGGTCAGGGGATTGATCCACTGCTGCTCCTCACTAACTTTGGCATGATCAAAATGGACATAATCGATGGCAAAACTCCCATGTCGGCAGTGACCACGGGAGAGGAGCCGGGGAGCCAGATGGCAGAGCTCAAAGGTAGGATTAGCTTTCACCAGAGGCTGTGGAAGCCCCCAGATGCCTTTGCATGTGTACTGACCAGCGTGGCCTTGCCTAGCATGGATTTGAGCTATTGTCATAGCATTTGAGCCTAGGGGGAAACCCAAGGCGGGGAGAGAGGCGGGTACTACTCCTAAATTTCCAGAGAAGGAAAGCTATAATTTTCTGGTTGTTCTGTTTTCCTTTTGTCACTCTCTCATTATCTCTGCCTCTTGTTTCAGCAGGCCTTCTACACATTTTCTTCTTTACATTTGTTTTGTCTTACTGGCTTTTCTTTCTGTACCTCTGGTCCTTTTACCTCTTATTTTCCAGCTTTTCTCTTTTAAAAGGAACTGAGGGTTTATCAGTTTAGTTATTGCCGTGACCTGACTTCACTGTGCTTGGAAATTAAGCTAAGAAGCAGGACCTGGTAAAACAAATAGATGAGAAGGATTTTTGCAGAAGAGAAGATGACTAGTACTGATAGTTTCTGCTACATCTCTGTCATAAATACTTGTTTTTAATTTCTGCAGATTTGGACATACACAGTGAAACTAAAGCAAATAGCGAAGAGAAGAATGCTCGACAGAGACTTCTGAATTCCTCTTGCTGACGATTTTGTTTTTGAACTTCAAATCTCTGACTTCTGAAACACAGGATTCATTTTGACTAAAGCACTCCATTGGGTTCACAGTTGGTCTGCAGTAAATGGTTTTCGGTAGTGATAGTGAGCATGTCTTATTGAGCCCCTAATGAACATAATGGTCTACAAAGTGTTATGGAGGATTGGTTAACTATAAGCAAGTGGAGATAAGTAAAATGTAGTAGCTGTATACGTAGAAGTCCATGTTGATGAAAAGTAGAGTGTTTGGAATCTCAGAGACACATCTTACAGTGCCCACGTGTGATGGGGCCCAGAGCTTTTACTTGTACAGAGAACAAGTACTTCAGGAGATTTGTTTTATTTTGTGAAACAATAAACATACCAGGATATAATTTAATACACATTTTTCATGTGCCCTTACTGATATTTGGACAAGAAAAGCATTCGTTGGCTTTTTAGTCAAAGGCCAGCCTGCACCTGGCGGGGTCTTAACTGGGTGTCAGTCTGGTGCCTTGCTCTCGTACACTTGAGCTCTCCTCGCCGTGTTGGCCCTTTAGCTAATTGCAGTCCTCTAGCCACTGTTCGTTGAACTCTGCTCTGAAGGGCGGCAGGCTCAGGTACTGCTCCAGTTGAAAACTTAAAGGTAATCTAAAGGATATTCAGTTCATACCACAGTGATTTCAGTGTAAGAAAGAAAGCTTTAAGAAAAAGCCCAATAGCAAATCAAAATCTGAATTTATAGAAGTTAATACAGTCACTTTCAAGGAGATTGTTTACAAGATGCCATGAAGGCACACGAAACAAACTTTGCTTAAATGTATTAACAAAGTTTACAGTGCGGAACACTTTGCCTAATGTGAACTGAGCACCTAAGTGATATTTGCCATATGCCTGGAGCCACAACAGCTTACCAGAGTAAGCACAGCTTTTAAAAATGCATTTTAATTTATACAACGTCAGAATTAAGGTCCTTTGGGAAGAACATTCTAGCATTGATGGGGTATTATAAAATAATGCTATAAATGGATGGCTTAGACAAATACAAGCATTGCCCTTTAAAGCTAAGGAGAATTTTAAAAACTGTTCCAAATTTTGTGTAAATATAGCCTTATGTTCACATTTTATACAGAACATTCTTAACTAATTTGTTGACCGTCCCATTTTTTCTTAGAGTTCACACATTGCTTAAGTGAGTAATCCTCAGGAACCTCAAAGTTTATTTTTGGTCCTTAGGGAGAATTGTTTACCTAATAAAGTGTGTGTGTGTGTGTGTGTGTGTGTGTGTGTGTGTGTGTAGAGCAGAAGTTATGTAAGCTGCTGTCTGCCTTTCAGAATATACAGAAAAGCAGATTTTATTTGTGTTTTATTTTGTGATAGTTTCTGAGCTCAAAAGCAAGTGATATCAATTCAATCAGCTATAAATTATTCTCTTTTAGATATGTATTACTGTTGAAGTATGTGTGACTTAGAAATTGTGGTAATTTAAATAACATTTCATTACATTTTTATATCACTGTATCAGAGATGTTCTACCACAATTCTTTTTATTCGAAAATTTGAAGAGTTTTGAAATGTTTCTAGGCTATGATTATTTTCCCAGAAAGCTTCATCTTCCCAGTAGGCTCCCCTAATTGGTATTTTGAAGTGATAAAATGGATATTTTATTCAAGAAGACAAAGAACTCTCTAAGCCCTACCATATGTAATTCTGTCAGATTTGTGTACTCGGGGTCCTTGACCTCTTGCTGGGAGTTCCATTGAGCCTGCAGGGACCCCGGCATCTCAGCAGGCACTGGCAGGAAACAGGATAGGCCAGTATCTGCACAGTCTAGTAAAAGACAAGTAAGGCATTCACAGTACCAAGAGGAGAAAGTGTCTGTGACAGAGGCCCTGCCAGAGAACGGCAAATCCTCTGTTCTGGGGGGATGTGTCTCCCTGCTTCTTTTCCTGGCTGCTGATTTTGAGAATCTAATCACAATTTTTCCAGAGGTAGATGACCTTCTTAAGGTTCTTTAGCCACAGATGTTGTAGGTTAAAATCCACACAAAATGATAGCACAGGCAATGATTTTGAACAGTAGAAGGACTCAGTTGCCTCCTGTCCTTCCCTTTCACAGGGTGGGAAGAAGAAAGTCTGTGTGGACTGGGCCCTGCTCATGAATAACAGACGTAACTCCGAAAGGCTGGGGTAGACAGCTGGTGATGCACTGTGGCCTGGAAAGTTAATTCCTCCATCCCAGGTTGTTGACTTGGAGGACTGCTCTTGAGAACCGGTTTCCAAAGTCGAGAAGAGAGCTTTTATAAGCACTAGTTGCTTTATAAAGAGTACACATAGAATGCACATGACCACTGCGGGTCACTACCTTGTTTCTGGCTCAAGTCTCCCTAGTGAGAAGGCTGCTGAAGCAGACGCAGTGTGGCAGTTGGGAGTGGAACAGATTTTTTTTGGAGGTGGGGGGAACAAATATTCTGAGAGCAGTGGTCCAGCACACCTTTAATTTTACCACCAGTTCAAACAGAAACCTCTAGCATAGAAATTCTTCTCCTTTGGGCAGTTACAAGTCCCCCCGCCAACCTATTTTTCTGTCTTTCTGAGACAGGGTCTTGCTGTGCAATTCAGGCTGGCCTTCAACTCACTTTGTAGTCCAGGCTGGTCTCGAACTTGCAGTGATCCTTCTGCTTCAGCCTCCCAAATGCTGAGATTTCAGGCATATGCCACCATACCCAGCTCCCCCTTATAAATATTTTTTAAAAACTATGGACTGGTATCCTCAGGAAATACACCATTTTAAATGTATTCCAGAGGTTGTTACAGCTTGTGCATATGAGGCAAGATTTATTCTAACAGCGAAGGAGCAGCTCCTCTGCAGAGAGTTCTGCCCATAAGGAAGCTAACGTCAGAAATGAACGGCCTTCACTTCCTAGGACGGAACAAAGTCAGTAATATGATAGGAAGCCGCGGTCTGGGCATAGCGAAGCTCCCAGTACTGACTGCTGTTTTCCCTCTGGCCTACATCTCATCATCATCTCCATTGAAAGAATTGTTCAGAATAGATCAAAGATGAGAGTGTTTTGGGGTTTGGGGTTTGATGGTTTTGCTTTTTGTTTTTTGTTTCTTGTGAAGGGGTCTCACTGTGTAGTTCAGGCTGGCCTTGAGCTTACTGTGTAGCACACACAGTGATCTTTGTGCCTGTGCTTCCAAAGTGCTGGGGTTACAGGTGTGTGCCACCATGCACAGCTGCACCACCAGGCCTGGCAAGAGCTTTTATCCGTTGCTGCATCACCCATTCCTGAAACAGTGACCAACATACAGTAGGCCACAAATATTTGAGTAAATGCTGTTAGGATAAATCCTAGTGTGTTGGCAACTGTAGTTTGATTTTAAAAGGCATGTAGTCCTCGGCAGGGAAGAGGAGAGGGGAAGCTCATTTAGCCTCTTGGTAGGAATGTTTTGGCAAATGAACAGCTTTCCATTATAAGTAGTGACAGTCTTGTGCTTTTTATTGTGGAGTGAGTCATGACTACTTTTCAAGTTCAATAAAAGTTCACTGTTGTCTTGCAGTAAGAAAATTGAAGTTTGAAAGGTTTTAGTCTCAGTAATTCCCCAGAATAAATCTCTTGAATGGAAATGTGGATTGAAATGTGCAATTACCAGTAATTGAGGTTTTATCTGAGGGCAGTGAGATGAAATGGCTCTTTTGGGGGCACTCTTTGGTGCCCTTCTCTCTTTATTGCAAGCACAGTGAAACCTTTTTTTTAAAAAAAGGTGCTAACACAGATACTGTTGTGTCACATGTGGAATGTAACATACTGATTTGTGATTGGTTTACCTGCATGCTTTAAATTAAATGTGTTGGTGAGTCCCCTTTTAAAAATCTATAAAAATCCTTTGTGACTAAAGCAACCGGTGTGCTTAGTAATTGTGTTTCAAGTTCCTGTAAGTTGTCTTCATGTCTTAAGGTGCTTGTTTCTCTTCCCACCAGAGGAGAAATTCCTTGTAGGATTCTACAGTGTTAGAAGCATTTCCTACAAAGCCTGAAATAATCAGCTCCTCCTTAACAATTTGCCTTTTAAAGCTATAATTAGAATTTAATGATATTCACCAAAGTGGTACTCTCTGTGTAAGTTAAATTCTCTTTAATGACTAAATGTCTTCCAAACTTTTGAAGAAGGCCAGGTTTATAGCTCAGTAGCCTAAGCACCTGCCGGCAAGTGCAAGGTCCTGAGTTTGATTCCAGGTACCCTGCCCCCCTCAAAAAAAAACTGAAGAAAAATATGTGTTATTTTTGCTGTGCCATTTGAGAATGCTGCCAACATGTGAAGAAAGACTTTAAAAATTAAGATCGTCCTGGATTTAATTTCATTGTAACTGAAGATGAGCACAAATGATGATGTTAAGAAATGATCCTTTCAGAAAACAAAAATTTTGAAGGCCTTGTACTTCGGTAGTTGTCACTACTGTATTTCATATTTCCAAAGGAGTCACTGGCCAACCTCTGCATTCTGGTTCTTCTGCCTGCATTTAAAGTAGGCTCAAGTTAAAGCTGCTGTGTCTGTAGATAGTGTTTTTGTTCTGCATCATGGTGTCTATCTAAATAAAACTTCTCTGGGTAATAAAAAGTGTGTTAGTACTTTTTCCTTTCTCTTTAGAAAAGTCATTTCACAAAAAAATATAGCAGGAGATGAGTCCTGAAATGTCTGGAGGCACATTTGTCATTGCTGGATGAATAAAATTTAGTAGGCTCCTTGTACTTGATAAAATCCAGCTAACAATAACCAACGGAACACAGTCCTTGATTAAGCATCCATATGCTTCAGGATATCTAAAGCAGAAATCACATTTTCTGAGAGTTGTTTCCCTGAGCTTGATGCTGGCATGAATGTCCTGCCCACTTATCTCAAGAGAACTTTGCACAATGGCCAATTAATGCAATTTACTGTTGTAGGTTATAAACCAGGGCCATGCAAAATTGTAGTACGGTTCCTAGCATATAAGTATTACATAATTGCTGTTTTCAGTTATCCTGTTTCCTAGGATGATGCACCTGGTGTCCATGGTGTCCTTGGATAGTCTTATTTATTTTCTATTGTTCCATAACAAGTTGTTGCAAACTGAGCAGCTAAAAACAACACACAGCTTACAGTTTTCTGAGTCAAGACATTGGACACAGCCTAGATCTGTCCTCTGTTCAAGATGCAGGCAGCTCATGTTCTCAGCTGGAGGCTCAACTGTTGAAGCTACTGCTTTTAAACTGCCTCAGGTTGTTGGTAGAATTCACTTTTTTTTCTAAAATTAATTCAACATCAACTGGTTTCAGACCTTTGTTTAGATAACTAGAAGCAAGTCAGGTCCTGTTCCCATTCAAAGGGAGAAAATTATGTGGGGTACATATATCACAGGAATTGTGGCGTCACCTCAAGCTCCATCTACCACAGAAGTTAGCCTGAATCGCAGTCTGTGCGGCGGACACCAGATCAACATTTTCCCCAGGCCTCTCCGTTCCCACTACTGTCTTCCAGTCCCTTAGCTCTTGTTTCCTGAATTCCTCCCAACAGGCTGCTTGTGTCTAATCCATCTTCCCATTTTATGTCATTGGATTTTTAGAAAGCAAATCTGTTCTTTTCAGGGCTTTGACACCCTCTTCATCACTTTTAAGTACCTCCATGGCCCTGGATTTCAGGATAAATAGCAAACTTGTGGTCTATAGCACACCAGACCCTACTATCCACCCTTGAAGGTGGACACCAGTCTCCTACCTGATACAACTCAGGCGCTGTTTCTTGAAGACTTCTGCTTCTCGAGTGTTCTTTGCTGATTCCAGTTCCTCCTACCCTCTATTCAAAATCAACTACAACATCCCCTGCTGGACATCCTCATGCCCTGCCCAGCCATTGGTCCATCTATAGATTACCCTCTTTTGGTTGGCACCTGTGGTATTGCAGTGACCAGCTTTGTACCTCCCACCAGGCTGGAAGGCCCTTCTTCACCTGTTCCCTGGACACCGTGATGCCCAGACACCAAGGAATTCCATATACCAATGGTGAACCTACGGCACACGTGCTGCAGCAGGTTACCATCGAGAGGTCTAAAAAGATTCACCCTCACTGTCTTGCACCTTCAGCCCAATGAGCAGGGCTGAGAATGCCCAGTATAGAGGAGTGTCACTGTAGAAGTAAACTTTGCCCTGGGTTGGTTGTTCACCTTTACCACTCTGTCCATTTTGCCCAATTCAAAGTGACCAGGTACTTCATCCTCTAATTCCTCCCCTTACTATTAGGAATTGTTTAAATGGGACCTTTGTGAGATACTGCTGAGTAGCTTTCCCTGGCAGTGATTTCCCCCATCTATTTAAATCCTCACTAACATATATTCAAGTAGGCAGCCTCACTTCATTGTCTAAAGGATCTAACAACACCTTGAGTGCAGTTGAGTATGTGTATGTGAGTATGTGTATCCATGTGGTCTCTGAGAAGGTCTCTCAAAGAGAGATGGGTACCTCAACTCATCCTACCCATGGGGTAATTGTAGGTTTGATAACTCCTGTCACAGAGAAAAAAATTTCAAGATGCATAAAGAAAGGTTATAAAAAGTACAGTGGCTGCTTATTTGGCACAGGTTAAAGCCCTTTGTGTATATTTAGATGTCTTCCAAAGCCTCATGAACTCAGGCAGGGCTTTTAGAAGGCGATTGAATCATAGGAAGCTACTGATAGATGCGATCTTGGGAGGCAGGAAGAGGCAGTCACCGGAGGAGTAACCTGGTAGGGTGTGGCTCCCTCCTGTCTTCTCCCTTCGCTCCCTGCTTCCTGGCCATGACATAGGTACCCTTTCCTCTGCTATGTCCCTTTGCCATGTTGTTCTGCCTTGGAGCCAGTGGACTATGGACTGAAAGTGTAAGCCAAAATAAATCTTTTCTTCTGGTTTGTAGGTGTTGGGTATTCTGTACCAGTGTGAAAAAAGTGACTAAGATTTGCGTAACAGGAATTTAGTCATTACTCTAACTGTGTGATACAGAAGCCTTTAAAATGGGCTTATGGGACGTTTGGAAGGGTTCAATGGGAGATTCTGGTTGGAGCTCAGAAAACTAGTAAGGTGATGAAAGGCAGAAGATAAAGACCAGGCTCAGGAGGTTGCAGCTGGGAACAAAAGCTCCATTGGCAGCCGGACTCCAGGTGCTGGCAGAAAAATCGTATGTCCTGCAACTTTGCAGGAAACAGATTAAAGGTGGTGGGATGATTAATCTTATGGAGGAAATTTATATTTTTATAAATATTTTAAAGAGGGAAAAATTTTTAAAATTTCAAAACCAATTAGGGGATGACAATGGAATATACGTTGTACATTGTTATCTTCAGTTACTCAGGTTACAAGATACTTGCCTTTAATTATCTAAAAAACACTAGCATAAACCTTTCTCTTCAATGAACTCTGAGAAATCAACAGTATAACTGTTAACTGTCATATATATGATATATATGCATGTTTTATTTATATATACATGTATATATTGTTTCAGTTCACACTAGTAAGACAATACGATGTTTACAGATACGTGTCTGATTTATTTCATGTATGAACGTGATCTCAATTTGCATCCTTTTACTTAAAATTTTCAAGTTTATCCTTCTTTATGACCATTGTATAAAAATACCACAACTTTTTTATCCGTTCCTCAGCTAATGGGCATATAGGTTATTTCCAAGATCTGGCTATTATAAATTGTGCTGCTATAAACATGGGTGCTTATAATTTTTTTAATTTTTATTTTAAAAAAGCAAAACAAAAGAAGATAGAAATAATACAGAATTTCAAAAAAGAAATATAGTTAATATATTGCATGTTGTTATCTTAGAAATAGTTGTTTACAATATCTACTGTATATTTTGGATCTTATTATTTGAAATATACAATAGATATTGTAATAGTGAAAGGGAAAGAAAATCCTCAAAAGGAAAGAACAACAGGGATAGGGGAAAGGAGAAATGGAAGAAAGGAAAAGATGATATGTATATAGGTCTATACATGTGTATATGTGTACAAGATAAATGACTAAACTACTAATTCTCTGGTAGTTCATCAAAAAGAATAATTTGTGCTGTCATTGATTGGTCATTTTTTATGCCTAGATCTTGTAACCTGAACAACTATTTCTAAGATAACAGCATGGTGTATATATATCACCGTGATACGATGTTTTTAATTCTTGAGGGAAGATATCAGAAGGAGAATAGCTGGAGCAAATGGGACCTCCAATCCTAGTTTTGTTTTTTTTTTAAACAATCTCTACATTGATTTCCACAATGATTGCACCAGTCTACACTTTCACCAACAGTGGGAAAAGGTTCCTTTTTCTCTACAGCCCCTCCACCACTTGTTACTGGTTGATTTCTCAATACTAGCAACTTTTTTTGGAGTGAGGTGGAATCTCAGTATTTTAATTTGTATATCTCAAATTACCAGTGATGTTGAACATTTCTTCATATATTTATTTGCTGTTCATATTTCTTTACCTGAGAAGTGTGTATTCGTCTCAGATTCCCATTTTTGGATTAGGTCTTTAAACCTGGGAGGACTGGTTTTTTTTTTTTGTTTTTTAGTTCTTTATATGTTCTTGATAGTAATCCTTTGAGGAATAACTGTCAAACATTTCCTCCCATACTGTGGGTTGTGTCTTTACTCCATTGGTGTTTTCTCTTGCTGTGCAAAACTTTTCAATAAGATGAGATCCCAGTTGTTGATTCTTTGTGATAGTTCCTGTGCAATCTGGGGTTTTTTCATAAAGTCTTTGCCTAAACCAATGTCTTTGAGAATTTTACCTACTGTATCTTCCTGTACATATACTGTTTGTGTTTTAATATTTAGATCTTTAATCCATTCTGATTTTAGCTTAGTACATGTTGAAAGGTAAGGATCCAGTTTTAATCTTCAGCATGTGTAAAGCCAGTTTTTCCAGGGAAAAAGAGACTTTTTTTTCCCAGAGAATGTGTTTGACACCTTTGTCAATGATTAAGATAGTTTAGTGTGTCTAGAGTTGTTTCTGCATCTTCTAATCCAGATCTTTGAATCTGGTTTGTTGTGGGTTTTTTTTTTTTCTAGTACCATATTGCTTTTATCACAATAGCTTTATAGTATAATTTGAAGTTGAGAATTGTGATGCCCCTGTCTGGTCTTTGTTGCCCAGGATTGCCTTTGCTACTGTAGGTCTTTTCTGGTTCCAGATGAATTTTGAGATTGTTTTTTCTAATTCTGTGAGATATACTATTGGAATTTTGACTGGAATTACATTGAATGTATAACAGTTTTGTAAGTATAGCCATTTTCACGATATTGATTCTTCTACTGAAGAGCACAGGATATCTCTCCACTTTCTAATATATTCTCTTTTTTTCAATGTAGAGGTCTTTTACATCCCTTATTAGATTGATTCCTAGGTATTTCTTTTCTTTCTTTCTTTCTTTTTTGGGGGTTACTATTGTGAAAGGTGTTGTTTCCCTGATTTCTTTCTCAATGAGTTTGTTATTTTTATTCAGAAAGGCTATTGGTTTTTGGTTGACTTTGTATCCAACTATGCTACTAAAGTTGCTTATTAAATCTACTTGTTTTTTAGTGGAGCTTTTGGG